CCAGTCTTGTGCAGATTATTTCTGCTGCCAGCTTCAGAAGTAGTTTGTATAAGTCTTCAGGCTCAAAGTTCAGAGAACAGAAAATGTCTTTTAATATTACATTAATATGAGTCTCCCAGGCTTACACTGTTCTTATATTTATAACCAGGCATTGGTTATACTGCTATTAGATTTAGCCATAATGAGATATAAAGGAAGAAGCTAGTGATGAAGTAGTCATTATTACCAAGAATATTTACCTTTTCATTTACAAGGCACACTCTGGAGATGCCAATGATGGCTTTCATAGAGGCAATGTAACATAAATTACAACACCATTATAGATGAAGCAGATGAGGCTCCCTACCAGAAGTACTCTGCTTCACTAAGTCACTGGGGACCCTGATTAATTAATTAGCATTCCCTCAACTTAGACTGCCTGGGGATTCATCTGCACAATTCCAAGGCTGCAAGAAAGAGCCGGTTGTATTCACGTGGCCTTACTTCCCGCACAGGACTATACTCAGTCTGGCCATGCTACTGCACTGCACAAACACTGCACTTTTAGTTTATTATTGGATGTAATAGAGTAAAACAAATCCATCACTTTCTGGCTGCTGAGAGATTTGAAGCTAGACGTTTGTTTGGCATTGGCCAAGCTGGGTTCATACTATTGCTAAAGGTCATGAAAGCAGCATGGACTGTTTTCCCCCAAACTCTATAGTTACTCTGTATGTTTATTGAACTTTGGCAATACTGTTATGTGCTCCTCAGCAGCTCTGCCAACATAATTAAAAAGGAGCAGTTGTATCAGAAAAGACACAGCAAGTTACTGAGGAAAGGCCCCAGTTGAATATTAACTCAGATTGACTAGCAGGGTGTAGAAACACGTAGAAAGTGTATAGGACACCGACTAGTGAATAAACAACATGCAGGCTGAACACATAATGGCATTCTGGTAAGACAAGAGGGTAATGAAGAAGAATCATTGACGCAATTACAAAGGCAGTGGTAACACACCGATTTTATCAAGGTCAGTGACCTCTGCTGCTATTAAAGTGTACCTGACTTCTTACTACAGAGGTAATTAGATATTTTTGAAGTTAAATACTGATCCTCCACATTTCTAAACAAAAAAGTTAATTGTTTTCAATTTGGCATCCCCCACAATGGTTTTAGACTGGCTACTTGTATATTATAACCTTGTTTAACAGAGAGAGACAACAATTTTTAATGCTTTAAGCTTTTATAATTGATCTTAATATTGTAGCATGTTTATTTGCATATGAACTAATCTTCCTTTCATATAGACACCAAGCACTCTATCTGAGGGCAGAGCTGGTCTAAACTGAGGGAAGATGTGGCATTGAACTTTTCTGTAAGTTGTAAAGGTATGTTCCTTAAGGAGTTTGTTTCTTCAGACCTACTATTACACTAAAGCCAAAAAAAACCAAAATTGGCTGTTAGAATACTACTTCAAATTGCCTGCAATTGGTGGACCTTGGTGAAAAATTTATATCAACACCCATATTAAAAGCTTTTAAGACTATTTGAAATGGTTCAAAGAGACAAGTCTCATTGTTCCTCAAACTCTTACTGAAATGTATCATATGGAAGAAAATTTAGACATTTAAATAAGGGTTTGACTTTCTGAGCAGCCATGAGACCCAGTAAGTAGTTCCAGATCACGGTTTTGAATGCACAAAATTGGATTTGTTGTCCAGCTGGACAGGTCCAGTCATAGCAGTCATAACCAGAACCTGTAGAAACATACAACCTGAAGCATACATCATGACTCAGTGTATTGATAGTTTAAAGCCATTTTTTTACAGAAAAGTTATGAAATCACTACACCTGTTTATCCAGGATTCCCTGAAGCCTTCCTCTCAAGCTCCTTATGAGGTGCCCCTATGATCAGATTGGAATGAAAATTATGCCATACATAAGTCTGTTCCTGGATGCTGTAGACAAAGACATTGATCTTGCCTCTGGCCAGAAAAAAGTTATTGCCACACTGAAAAATGGGAACCTCCAACCCTTGCAAAGTGTTGAACACTTTCACATTACCACCATAACACAAATAACATGTGAAGAAAGTCCTCCAAAAGGCAAAAAAATTAAAATTGCTGAAGAACAAGACTGTACATAATGCTTTTCAGGCACTGAAAAGTTTGTTTAACAAAGGATTCATATTGTCCTTGTTTTCTGAGGGTTTCAGCAAGGGTTTTGCTGGAGAAGAAGCCTACAGACATGCTAGCTGAGGACACTGGTTTTGTCTAGTTTGGAGAGAAGGAGGCTGAGGGGTGATGTTCCTGCTCCTGACAGCTTCCTGAGGAGGGGAAGTGGGGAGGGAGGTGTCAATCTCTTTTCCTTGGTACCCAGTGCCAGGGCGTGGAGGAATGGCTCAAAGCCACATTTGTTGGGGGAGGTTTAGACTGAATATTAGGAAGCACTTTACCAAGAGGCTGGTCACACACTGGAAAAAGGCTTCCTGGTTGATTCCCTCTGCCTGTCAATGTTTAGGAGTCATTCAAACAATACCCTTAAATATATCCTTTAGCTTTTGGTCAGTCTAAAGTGTCAGGCAGTTGGACTGGATGGACATTAAAGATCCTTTCCAATTGCAATGTTCTATTCCTTTCTATTCTATTATTTTCTATTCTAAGATGTCTTCCAAACACATATATAAAATGCCCGTTCCCACTGTTTACCCCATCACAAAACTCAGGATTCTCAGTGGTGTCCAGACATGTAATTCCTACTGAAATAAGTGAAAATAGTGCTCAGATGCTTTTGAAAAGTTCCACTGGCTTCCTCGGTGCAGCTTTATGCATTTGAAGAGATTAAATCCACAGAATGTGTTGCAGTGTTTCCATTTCAATGTCTATGGCTGCCCAAAGAGCTTACTGGGACAGAATCTCTTCTCCATTTGCCCACTGCACCATAATGTTTTCCAGTCCCAAAGGATGAGCTGTTCTGCAGAGATTAGCTCATGATGAGTCTCCCTGCTCATTTTAGACTTCACATTAGCAAATAAAAAGTTTTGCTTCTATTTTCACTAAGGAGCTCAGTCTGATCAGCAATCTTAGAGCATTCCTGATTGACTTGCCCATATACAAAACTCAGACACAGGAAGAATAGTTTATGTGAATTTGAATCAGATTTGTATTTTTATGGAGTTTCATCCATAAACAGCTTGCAATTTGGTCCCAAATCTTCTAAATCACTTAGGAAACAATTTCATTTCCTTCCTTTTTCATTTTTTATTTTGTCTTGTCCACTCCTTTTATCTTTTTTATTCTTTCTACGTGAGACTAAATTTAGGAAAACATTTTCACATTTGGGTCCCTCTCTTAATTTTTTCTTTTCACTCTCCTTTTGCTCCTCACCACCATTTCCATGCTTCCTCTGGCTCTTCCTTCTTCCTTATAATGCTTTGAACAAGGGTCGTCACACAGAGCAGAATGCCGAGATCTACTTACCAGCCCCTATTTCTTTTTACACACCTTTTTGTGGAATCACCCTCTATGCCTAAAAACTTCAGACTAGTTGCAAGAGCAGGGAGAGAGCCTCTTCGTGTTCTGCATGGGAAGGACAGCACATAGCTCTCAACACCTAGGTTGGAGACTTATGCAAGATTTGTGACTTCACAAACTAGAACTGTATATCCAATTCAAGAAAATATGTTAGGGAAGCATATGAGCTAAGGATAGGTTCAGAATACAAGTTCTCTTCAGGAGAACTGTTTGGCGACATTCTCAGAGTAGAAAATGAAGAAATTAAAAGAGCAGCAATTGAAGAATTGCAGTCTCTCAAAACAAACTAGAAGACAAAGGAAGACATGCATCCATTTTTGTCCTTCTGTGTATATTATTCCTTGCTAAACTGAAAAATAATTCAAATATTACCCTTTTCCAGATAAAGCCACCTCAAAATTTCATGTCTTTGAAGTGCATTCATGTACTTGAACTGGAATGAAGGGAATGAGCAAAACACTGAGCTGCTATTATATCCCCCACTCTTGTTGGTTTTGGAAGTAAAAATTTTAAGAATTAATGTTTCTTTTAAGGGAATGCAGTAACCTAAGTAGGTTTTGCATTTTTGGAAGAAATTTAGAATGATTAAATTATCTCCTAAAATGAGATCAACAAAAGAATCTTTCAAGACACAAACCTAAAGCAGTGGGAGTTTGACGTAATATATATGGAAATATATCACGTTGTTAGAGCTGAGTGCCATCTTGTATTTTGCAACAAATGAGAGGAATTTTGTATAAATGCAGGCCAAAAGGCTGTATCCAAACCTTTGAAGTTACTGCTAAAAATATCAAGTAGACAATGCTGAGGATAAAGACAATCTTTCCAAGGAATGTAAATTTAGTGAAGGAATTACTCATAATGAACAGGTCTGAATGCAGGACGCAGTATGTGTCCTTCTTTGAAAGATACAAGAAGCTTTCAAGGTGTCACTCAAGTCACAGTTTGGGTGTCTCTTGTTCAGATACAGAACATGGCTACAGGTACACTGAGAACAAGGCAATATCATCACTGCAAATGTTCTGCTGAGCTCTGATTCTTACATTAATATTGGACTTTGTCTTATCTCTGTACAGTTCTGTCTTTCCAATTCTCTGTTACATCCTGCCACCACCTGATAAAGAGATGAATCTGTAGGACATAAGATAAATCATTATTAACAGCAAGAACAATTTGTAAGTCTCCTAATTTGTATCTAGAGAATATTTAGCAAGGTTCTAGAAAAAAACAGAAAGTAAAGGCTTTTTAGAGAAGGGGAAGGTTGGTTTTTAAAGAGTTTTGCAGAAAAGGCCATGGAAGGTAGACATAAAGGTGATGGAGCTAGAGGCAGCACTTGCAGACTGTGAGATACCAATGGAAAAGGACACAAAAAGTAAGGACAAGCACAGCAAGAAGTGCCAAGCACTAGCTGGGAGGCAAGGCCATGAGGTTTTGAAAGGGTCCAGTGAAATTATGTTAGTTTCTTCAGTACCCCAAAAAGCCTCTCATGCAGGTTCATGCTGCTCAGCGTTGTTTGCATGGCTGCCTTGCTGGGAGAGGTGATATTATGTGCCATGGTGCAGCAGGACAGCACAAACATTGTGACACCACGTTAAGACATCACTCTGTGCTCTGTACTATATAAGGAACTGGCGTGCCAGGCCTGCAAGGCACAGTATGGCTGACCTGGTGGGTTTGTTCACCAAGCCACAAGGTATGAAAACTAACTACAAATATTCAAAATGAGGTAAAGATTGGTCTGTGTTTATAAAGGACTGAGACTTTTTTTTCTTTTTTTTTTTCCCAGCCACAAGTATCTCAAAATAGTTTTTGTTTAATTCTCAAAATATTCCTGTAGGAACTTCCCCTGGGAGTTTAGGAAATAAATAGCTTATCCTGGACAGACTATTTATTTCCAAGATGTTTACTCATGCAATCCATGTGATTGTAATGTGCCTCCATTTCTCAAGCTCCCTTTCAGCTCCTCAGGGGCACATAACTTAAGCCTAGCAACTTTATCCATATACTGACAGACTGTTACTTCTAAATATTGAACTGGTAGCTCCAATTCTCTATTCATAGTAGAACCATTAATGTGGCAAGAGAGAGCGGTTTATGATTAGGTTTGAAATACCCAGACTCCCTGGAACCAAAAGTTCAAATTCCTGCGAGATCAGTGCTTTTGCCCCTCTGTCTGTGCTAGATACACTCTACAACCCCAGGTCATCTACGTAAAGCCGTGAAATTAGGTCTGTCTGATCAGCTTAAAAGTCCACAGGTCATGCTTTGCAGAAGGGGCTACCCCACTATTTATGCACATGCTCTCTCACACCTGTTCTTGCTCTGCAGCATTGTGATAACAGCTGTTTACTGTCAGCTACCACAGAGCTGACTTGCAATTCAGAAGGACTGGTGTAGTCCAGCTGCTTTTCAGTTGATAAAAATTACAGTCCTCCACCTAAACCATACCATTTCAAACCAATGGAATTCTAATCTAAGAGCTGCTACTTTGAAAACACTTCAAATTCTTCAAGATAAAATGCTGTCATTAGCTGTTAGCTGCAAACACCGTGAAATTCACGCTGAAACTTCCAGGTTTTCAGTTTGTTATCACTTTCTGTTTTCCTAAAAGAAGAGATTTTTATGGCAGATTTAACATTAATTTCCTATTTATTATTTGAGCAAGAATAGCAGTGAGAAAATAAAATCGGGATGGCAATACACTCCACCAACATACATTCATCTTGCAGCAGATCCTCAATGTGCCTTATGCAGCCATGTGAAGCCAATTAACCACCAGAGTATTTTTGTGATTGAAATAGGCAGCAAACAGCAGAGATAAAATAGAAATAAACATAGATAAGTTAGCTATCCTATTTTCCTATGATTAATCCTAGGTTCCTATTTAGTTAACTATTTGTTTAAAAGCAATACTGCTGATACTCCCAAAAAATGCTATTTGTGTTAATTAGGGAGTGTCTTCAGCAAAGGGTGGCCAGGACGAACAGGCCTATAAGAAGGGAAGTAGCAGCTGAAGCTAATTTCCTTAGAAAACGAAGGAAGGAAGATATCAGATAGAACTTGGTAGGTCTGGTAAGCTTTCTATATTTTATCAAATTTCCTGCAAGATGCATTCTTTGTGATCCACTTTTATATTCTCAAATAGTTTATATAACTGTTGTTTTTAGACTTCTGCCCTTTATCTATAGTGGTGTTAGAGCAGAAAAAACTGTTGCTTATACCTATTTATCTTTCTAAAGCATAGAGAAATGTGAAATTAAAAGAAAAATTATTGTTTTCTACAAAAGATTTGGTTGAAAAAAATTGTTAAAAAACAATTTAAGTAAGAAATAATTGACCATTTAATATTTGAGGGGAAAGCATTAAAATATATAACTGAGGTTAGGTTTGGGGAAAGAGTGGTGGCTGTAAAATCCTTCTTATTCCCTTTCTAAGCTTAATCATGTAAGCTTCTATGATAAAGACTAAAGGAAATCAATCTGCCTAAACAGCAATGGAAAAAGGGAATCTCTGTAGACTAAGTGCTGCCAATGTGTCACACAAACTAGCACTGCTAAGAAGTGAGAGAAGAAATGGGTATCCAAATAAAAATTATTATGGAGTACTCCTCCCTCTTTCTAAAGAGAAAAACACCCTATAAGACATCTGAATTCTGCTGTATTGAAGAGTCAGTGCTCTATCTCTTGCCACTTTTGTGTTTAGAAACACAAAGTGGATGTGAAACTCTGCTAGAAAACTTAGATGCTACATAGGTGCAAAACCTTGACAAGGAATGGAGTACTAATACCTTTTACTTCAGCAAATATACCTCCCTGTCTTCTTGTGTCCTGCTTTATGGGAGTCCTGTTCTCATGCCCCTCCAAGGCCACAGTCCATATACAGCTTAGAGTATGGGGCACTCAACCTGCATGAAATATCTGAACAACCTCATGAAAGCAAAGAGTTCAACAATTACTAGGAGTTCTTAACTGCTCACGTGATTTAGTTATTTATCTTAATTGCACATCTTTATCTTGGACTTTTCTACCCAAGAAGTAGCAAGTGTAAGAAGCACAGTTTCTTTTTTTGGGTGGGGGTTTGCAAATGAATAAGAATAATGCTACTAGCAAAAGCAACCTTGTAATTGTAAATTCAGTTGAAAACAGACTTGCACAGAACATGTATTTTTTAGAATTAAAGCTTAGAATCAGCTGAAGTGAGACAAATGTTAAGTAAATAGGAGGGAATTAGGGGTTTGTGAGCCCCCTTTCAAGGAATTAAGGGAAACAAAATGACAATTTGATTAAGAGATCGTTGGTGAATCCAGAAATTCTCTGCCCATATCTTTTGAGCACTTGATTTTTTGCTCTCTGCCGTCTAATAGTTTTCAACTACATATGGCGTGTTAGCAGCTGAAACACCAAAAGTATATTATTTATATACTTGGAAAGAGAAAACACTATCTTAATGATGTTCCAGTTAATGAAAGGGCTTTAAAAATTCTAGCATACTTGGAGTTCCTTATGCAGAAGGCTGGGAGTGGAGTAAGTGTTGGATGTATGACCACCTGTGTTCTCATGTCCTGTTTTCAACATGGCTCTTCCAAATGCTTGAATACTGATCTATATAAAGGATAAATTCCATGTAAAGACAGAATACAGACATGAAAATAGGAACATGTGGATTTGATTTAACAGCTTGCTGTTAAAAAGCAGCTTTCATTGCATCTCTCACAGTGTGAACAATGACACAATCTTCTTATTTTCTTAGGGCAATAAACCTGACTTCAAGATGTCAGAGGAAGATGATTCATATCTGAATGTAAAAAGATCTCTGAAAAGGAGAATGGTGAAACACAGCACCCCAGTGGACTCAATGCTTTCAAGAGCAACTCCATCTCTTATAGATCTGACAAATCAGTCAATCAAGGACCAAGATGCCACAAAGCGAGTTTATGGATCTCCAATGCCAAAATCAGATCTAAGCAGATCATTATCTCAAGTGTCATCAGTGCGTGTTGATGCGTACATCCCTCACGTGTCCCCAAAAAGACTTTCAACAGCATTTGATTTGCAAGAATTAAATAAAGAGAAAACTCAAAGCTCTCAGCTTGTATTTTCTAGAAGGAGGCTTTCTACTGTGTTGGCCTCTGATGAATCAAGTCAAGAGCCAGCTCATAAGGTTGTCCCAGATACAGAAACTCAAGCTACCACCAGAGCATCTGTGGATGCTGCAGCAACTCCCAAGAGTGGACCTTCATGGCTTGTTTCTGGCATACCAGGGATAAAAGATCCTCTGCCAGCAAAATCCAGAAAGAAGAAAATTGATAAAACTCTTCAGGTAAAGGCTTTAATTTAGCTATTCAATACCTAAATTACACAAATTTCTACCAATGCTGAAGATATACAGATCTTTCTAGTGAAGTGGGAGTAGTTTACTAATAGAACATTTCCATAACTTTAGCAGTGAGGACATCTATTTATGAATTGGGTCATAACCTGGTAGACTCTGTGATACCATTCCTAATTAGAGATGGGATGCCATGCAAACTTCCAAACTAGCATTTGCTTCAGCTTGTGAGCTGGCATTGTTTACCCTAGTGGGAAAGTATATTTTTTAAAATAGATCTTTATTTAGAAGACATTTAAGAATAGGAAAAAATCAGTAATTGAAATTCCAATTTTTTTTAATGTTAGCAAGTCAGTTTAAACTTGATAAACAAATAATCTGCTCCTTTTTCTTTTAAATCCAAATTTTTGTGCTTTATAAAAAGAATGACAGTCATTGCAAATGGGATCAAAAGGTGAGCAGACCTTTTGTAGGGTTTCCTGAGGAAAGCTTAGATTAATAGATGCTCTGCAGGTGCTGGTTGTCTGTGGCACACAAGAACTCAGTTTTCTGAAACTTTAATTATTTGCCAAGGGCCTGTGGAAAGCCCATAGAAAGGACAGGAAGGCAGCAGAATTGAAGGTTGTCATGTCCAGGTGAAGCCATCAAATTCTGTTCTGGTTTGGGTTTTTTCTCTGTACCATATTTTCTTGAGTGTGTCGAAAACTCAGCAAAACTTTCCAGCTCTGAGAGCAAAAGCTTCTTTGCTTAAAACAAATGGAAAACTTCAGCCAAAACTGAGTTGGGTCGTAAGTGCTTTTTGTAGGTGGTTTGGTTTTGAAAGCAGGTGGTACCTGAATGGATTTGGTTGATTAAAAAATATTTTTTTCTTCTATAACAGAGAAAGAAAGAAAGAGAATGGCTGCTTCGTCAACTTAAAAATATTGAGGAGGCAACTAAACATGAACTGACAATTGAAGAAATTTGATTTGGCTACCTGTGGGATAAGTGCTGTCACATTCATCATATAGGAATGACAAGTTCCAATCAATCACATTCTTCATTATATTGCCTGTTATACTTCCTCTTTCCTTCCAAAATGTTATTTTATTGTTTTGTTGGTTTTTTTTGTCATTCTTTCCTCTTAAATCTAGAAGTCAGGTATAATTTAAGAAGATCCTCTACACAAGAGTCAACGTTAATTTATAAAGGGTGAAAGGCCTAGAACAAAGGGAGGAAGAATTTAATGTGTAAGAATCATTCTTCATCCTGCCACAGCTCTTCCTGGCCTTAATCTTTTGTGTAGCACTCAAGTCTTGTAGGGTTGCTGATCTTTCTTAACAAGAAGTCACTCGACAAAGTCCTAGTGGCCACATAGAGTGTAATCCTAGTTAGCCAAAGGAGAATCTCTTCATCCTAAGAGTAATCAAAGCTGATGCAATCTGGAATGTTTTTGCTGCTACCTGCTGAGATGAGGAAATACTGAGAGGCAACAAGGACGGAGACCATTCTTTAGAGATTACTAATTAATGAGAGCTTATTTTGAAGTTTTGGTTCAAAATCAGTTTGTCCCAGCTTTAGATTAAAAATGCAACTCACTGTTATATTGGAGATATTTATTCCTTGCCTGTGTGTTTTGAAGGAGTATGGGGTTTCTGTTTGGAAACAGTTTCTCTTTTCCTCTGGAGCTGCTGCATGGAGGTGAAGAAGGGTGTCTTACCTGACAGCTGTATTGTCAAAATTGTAATTTAGCTCAAAGGAACTTTGTGAAGCGCCAGTCAAGAATTGATGCAAAATGATGTTAGTTAACTGATGTTAGTTCCTACTGCTGTCTGTTATTTCATCTTTAGATCAAACAAGGCAGAGTTTATCACTTCTAAATTTTCTGTGCAGTGTCAGCAGCAGGAATCCAGAACAGATTTAGCACCTACATACACATACTTCTGCACTTGTGTGGCTCTAGCATGTGCACTTTCCTGGCTTGTACTGGTTTTGCAGTTGTTCCAGGCACTAATTACCCAAAGGGGAGAGGTCCCATTTAAAAGAAGCTGCCAGTTAAGAATGGAGGCAAGGGACACTTTTGCATTTCCTTGCCACAAACTGTAACTTGTAATATCTTATATTCAAGGTGGCAGAGAAGGAGAAATATGTCCCGTGCCAACATTATGAGGCAGGCCAATCAATAGCATCTCTGTTACACTCCAAAATGTAGGTGAGGAGTTGTGGTTTTACAACCTCTCTCAGGCTTTAAAAGGAATTAGGATGTTTTTGCTAATGATTCCTGAAGTGAAATTCCTCAGAGTTTCTCAGGAGAACAGCTTTATCCTCAGACCTGGCTTTCTGTGTAGGCAGGCAGTGGGGTGATGCTGTCCTTTGGGTCATGAGCCAAGTCACGCTCACTTGGTTTCATGTTTAGTTAACGTTCTGGAATTTGTTTGTGTGTGTTACCCGGACTGCTTGTCTGGTCTCCACAGGTTCCTCTGGCAACCAGAGAGCTCCTGGCTGGTGTAGATCCCAAGCTGCTTTTGAGATAAAATAGGCATGGTTGCAGATGTGCTGCTATTCCCCTTGAGCCTGCAGGCATTTCATCAGTATCTGTGATTTGTGCCAGGGGCTGAACTAAGATCAGGCAAGTGCAAGGTTAGCGTAAAACCCTTCTCTACCCCTGGGAAAAGCACAGATTAGTCTGGCTGCATGACCCAATGCTTAATCCAAATGACCCAGTTCTGCTTCTTGTTTATTTGTACCTTCCCAGATAGTCAGTTCCAGTTGTTCCTTCTTCAGGTTTCTCATCCTCGTCTCAAGAAGTCTTGATACTGTTTCTGCTGTTCTTTCTTACTACTGCCTCTCAAAGTCACTCTTGGCTCCTGCCCATTCACTTTCTTGGTCTTCAAATGTCTTCATCTAATGTCTTCTCCAATCTGGCCTCTAGCTCTTTCTTTCCTCATAAGACACAGATGTGTTTTGTCTTTAGTGCCTGCTCTTCACTGCTGGATTCCTTGCCCATCTGATACCCTCTGATATCTGACACTGGTCTTCTGCCAAAACTCAGACTGTTGTCATGCCCCAAAGTGCTGCTTGGGTTGATGCCCTCCATGATGCTAGGCCAAGTGGAAAGGTCATGTGGGACAAGTTCCAGACCTTAGGAGGCCAGGGGTGTAGTTGCTGCAAAGTTCCTTCTAAGGCCCTGCTTAGGGCTACATTAAATGCAAAAGGAATCCAGGGAATACGGCTACTAAATGTCTAAGGTATCTTTGGTTTCATTCCAAGTGCAATGCAAAAGTTCTGAAATTCAGAATTCAGTAAAGGATGGAAAGTTTTTTCAGGGAGCAAGGCTGCCACCCTGTCAGGTTAATGGAACTAGCTGGTGCAAATAAAGCCCCAAAGACTTTCCTCACTGGAGGAAAACAAATTGTACCTAATGGTAACACAGAACTGACTTTGGGTCTTTCCAAGTTTTCAAGCTATATCAGGCAGACAGATGCAAAAAACCAAGGGGTCTCATGGTTTTGAAAACTACTTCTATTCCCTCTCTAGAATGTTTAAAAATAAATAGAAAAGATTATATAGCATTTGTTTTGGAATAATTTAGGCATTCATGCAGAACTTGCAGAAGTTATAAAACTGCTCATAGTATTTAAAGACAATATTAATACAATCAACTGGTTCTTCAGGGGTTCTCCAACATGTGTCTGATGTTCTACAACCACAGTATCAACAATTAATTACATGTTACAATCCTCAGGGATTTCAACCAGGCCTATATAGCACAGACCTTAGTGAATGGTGTTCCCAAAGAAAGGTTGGTGTCTAATTTATAAAGTCAAGATGTTGAAAAATGTGAAACTACACATATCAAGTTGCACTTACAAAACTGTACTGCTGTTATTATACTTCACATATAAAAATATCCATAAGGCAAAAATAAATTAAAAAAAAAACAAACAACCACCAAACTAGTATTTCTTTTGTTTACAGAGCTTGAATTTAATTTCTCCCATAGACTCACAAATCTACTGGAATTAAATTTTTAAGTTTAAAAGATACAGCTACTTTTCTGTCATACTATGTATGTACATTTTGAAAGGAAGAGATTTTGGGAGGAGCACTACTAGTATGCAGTTTCACTCTTGTTTAATGCTCATCCTCTAGTGGCAACAATGGCAAATTACTGTTTGGTTAATGCTTCTCTTCATGCATAAAGTTCCTTTATGAATATTTATATTGCAATATCATCACAGTGAAAAAAAAAATTCTTAAAGGGAGGTGTAAAATCCAACACCTCTAAACAAGAAATCTTCCTAATAATTATAGACCTTAAGGATGGATTTTGGGAGCTGAGGCTGAAAAAGGTTGGTGGCTACAGACACCAGATTCCTGTGAGAAGATAATCCCCAAGACAACCTGTTCTGTAAAATAAAAAGCCCTTTTCCTGTGTGAATGAATGTGAAGCAGAGTTGCAACATACTCTTGAGCTTTGGTGTTGTCCTGACTTTCAAATGCAACACGGACACATTTGTAAGTTCAGAACAGCCTTCCTATTGAGAGTGTTCTTTTAGGGCAGTATTTTTCCTTTTGGAGTGAAGCTATGACCTTGACCTATGGAACTGTTTTCAGTACACTTGTCCCTGAATAGATATTACACAACCTACCTGCTGATGGTGACTAAGCATGATGTTGGAGGGAGAAGAACAAAAACATTACCAAGAACAGAGGGAAGAGACAGAAATGTCTTCATCCTAGATTTATGAGCTCGGCCTTGTTCCCACTGAAGCACTCTTCTGTTGACAGAGTTGGGAGTGCTCTGCCCAGCTGTGGTGCTTCTGTAGGAGGCCAGTTTGAAGAGAAAAATGTTTAGCAGATGTATTTAGCATATTTTAGATTTATGTAACAGACAAATGGAAACTAGATCCTTCCTTTGCTCATCACAGCTGAACAATTTTAGAATAACTAGGAAAAGTGGAAAACTTCTAAATAAAAACAGATTTTATTTTTTTCCCCTCTAT